CCAACGCCTCAGTCGAGTAACTTCGACTAGAAGGTTGAGCAAGTTCACTACACTTGTGCCTCAGCAAGTGATCAAAAGACAATGGGAACAGCCAGTTCGCTGAGTGGAATGCTCGCAGAAATTTGGCCATTAATTTGAATTTATTTCAATTGCCTGTTTTTGAAACTACGGAACGATTAGATTCCGCCCTTGCTCCCGCCTTTCCGATGGCCAAAGTTTGCGATCTTTAACTACCACTTCTCTTTCGTCAAATCATTTTATCTTCTTAGGCTTCTTCATTAAACCGCTTGCTTAGTGCTTCACGCATGAGGTTCTGTTCTGTAACATTTATCCCCCCAGGCGTCGCGCTCACAAACTTGGCACTCCACTCGACTAATGCGACTATTTAGAGCGACAGTTTTGGCTCAATCGAATGGTGAACGCAGCAAATAGCAGGAACAAATGCTGGTATTCGTGTTGAAGGCATTTTGTACTCATGCTGATTGCTTTTGTAAGTTCATGTTAACTAACAGGCTCAGGGGGCGAAATTTCGAGAAGTCAGGGGCGAACTTCAAGTGCAAATTCAGGCTTCAAGCGAGCCGTTTCGGTGACAGCAATTCACAGATCTTCATAGAGTGACCTGGGTAACCATAGCTGAATACCATTGCTCCCACAAAGCTGAACTGCGTCCTTTTCACCTAGTCTGGACAGGAACCAATTCTTCAGCAGACCCTTTGTAACGGTGTAAACAAAGCAAAAACAGTTGATATCATCGCAGCCCTGCAGGGTGTCATGGCGACAGTGGGTCCACCCGTGGCTCGTTTCTACCAACCAGTCGGATCGCCGCCTTCGGCGGGCGATCCTCCTTCCGCGTGTGAAGTGGGTCCCTGGTATTCCAGGTAAATAAGTAAATAAACAAATAAATAAATACAAATAAGTTATAAATTTTCGATTTCGACCTCATGTTCACTACTATTCTCATTTGTCTTGAGACAAAAATATAACTTTTGCCCCTTACTTTTGCTGAGGTGTCTCTCCCTTACTTCATCTGGCTTCCCGCTGTCGCCCTTCAAGCACATTACCATCCTTCGGGTTGCTCAGGATACGTTTTAAAAATTTTTATCCATGGCACTTTCCGCCGATGCCCCGCCCATTGTGGGCGGAGCCTAGGTTACCTTGTAGGTGTTCTGTAAATGTTGTCCCATGCCACAACCATCCCAAGCTTGATCCGTTCGCCAAAAGTGATTTTCCACACAGTCCCCAATTTTCGGGTGAACACGCAAGCATACAAACACACAACTTCTGCTTTTTTCTAACAAAATAGTGACCGGTTCAGGTTTGAAAAAAACCACTGATAAAAGGGCTGCGAAGGAGCTCATTCCAGGCCTCCTGAAACGGAACGATATCAGTTGCATATATACCATGCACGTTACGAAACCAAGGGAAGGAAGCAAACCAAGGATAAAGCTAGGGGAAGACATGCACTAGACGGGATTCGTGCATCTGTACACAGGAGAAATCAGCACATATTCATTTCATAATGACAATAGAACTCTCCTATAATGTAAAATGTCTGTGAACATTGTAAAGAAAGATTTCCTCATAGAAACTTGGCCGTATAAATGCAAAGATCGGCAGGAGAACGTATGGCAAAGCTTGTGGATGAGATCGGCAAATGAATGAAAGACGAGCATAAATATGATTAGCTAAGCAATCATTTTCTATTAAAAAAGGGCATAATCGGATTACGAAGCACGGCACACAAGGACTACAAGGGTTAGCTGCACGGGATGCACAGGCGGACATCACTGGAATGCTAAATAACAACAAAGAAAGGAAAAAGCTAAATAGCGAACTAAAGAAAAGCCAACATTCTCAAAGCATGTTATCCGGCTTAGCAGCCACAATCGCCGGCAAATCGCCCAAGAGAAACATCCCTCCAGGTGCAAGTAGATTTGTATGAGTCATACCGAAATGGGCTTTTGTAGCGTTGTGTTCGACTTCTATCGGCTCGCAGCGGAGATCCGAGCGCGAGTAAATGACGTTACTGTCCGGGTCCATCTGTCACAGTTCCTGCTCCAGCTCTTGCGTCGCGTTGTTGCAGTTCGATGCGTCGCTTCTTTTCTGCCTCTAGCTGGTCTCGAAGCAAGGACAATTGCGATTCCAACAGCTTACGTTTATGCGTGAAGTTCATCTCCCTTTGCTCAATGACCATTTCAAGCTGAAAACGAGATAATAAGACGAAACGGTTAGTGAGTAGTCAGTAGGTAAGGACATGTGAGAAAGAGGAACATATAAACCAAGAACAAGGATCGAAGGGTTTCATCAGAGGAATATGTTCATAAAAATTATGAGTATTATCATGCGAACGAGACTCCGTAATCACCATTTTTGTCGCATCAAAGGAGTGCTCTGCCTGCTAGAGCACATAATCGCAATGACTTGTGGAGCGGGTTTTGCCATCTTCGCAATTGTGCATCCTTACTACTTTTCCGCGGAAAAAATGAGTCTCAGCAATGCCCCATTCGCGTATTAGGCTAGCAGGCTTAACAGCGCCTCTTCCTCGTTTCTTGAAATTCTTCATAGTCTGAAACGTACCCCCACTCTTCTCATTTGCTTGAGGATCTCATCTTCCAATAAATACGAATCGCTTCAACTATGACACTTGAAAAATAGAGGAAGTTACATAGCGTGATTAATTTATGATTTCATCCCAAGTCTGAAAAGTGTAAGAGATCTAGTGAAGTGCTGTATACAGCTGTTTTGTACCCGTTTGCCGCCTGGTAGAGTGGAAATCAACGGAAACGCCAACTATCGATTGGAGAACGCTTGGTCCACATTCTCCCAGCCTCGCAACGAAGTGCGGCCCAAAGCAGCTCCCGCGGTGCTTAACTGGTGCTTCTCCATGCGGTACCCTCCCAGAGTCGAGCGAGGCACTAGCCCTTTACTGACTCACAATCCCGAATGAGCCAGTTTTTGTCCTACTTTTCTTTCTCCGTGGAATCAGGATTTGCTCGAAAAATTGTTTGGGGGTCTCCTGGGGTATTCTGACAAACCCTCACTGGCGCCTGCGCCACAGGCGCCGGTGATCTTAGTATTTTGGCGCCAGCACCTGTAGCGCGGGCGGCAGGAGGTTTTGCACCGAGCGGATGTGATATTGATTCGAGGGGGTCCATCCACCCTTGCAAGCAGCGGTGTTTCAGCGAAATTGTGTGCTTTTCTAGCATTTTGCGGCCGGCGCCGTGCGCAGCGCAGGAGGTTTCGGATTAAGCGATGCGATATTCGGCTTCAGTGGTTCGAATCTACCCCTGGAGCCAAGTTTTCGACAATTTTGCCCAGGATTAAAATCGTCAGGGAACTGGCCTGAGTTCGATGACCTGGGCAGTAAAGGTTACAATTAGTCTTGAGTGAGTACTTGACCAAGTAGAAACAACGAGAGAATAACAGCTCTGCCAGTATACGGAATGAGCACACTTACCTGCCGCTTTTCTACAATCAGTTTAGATATTCTCGCTTCTAATTCGCTCTGATCTTTGAGCATCTTCGTCACATTTCTACTTCCAGCATCACGTTCAAGTTGAGCAATCTGAATGATTATTTGATGTTGCTCCAGTTGGGGGGGGGTCGTTCGAATTCGATTTCCCTCACCTGAGACTGCAACTGGGCACAATTTCTATACAGTTCTGAATTTTCCTTTTCCATAGCGGCTAATGATTTGTCGATTGCCTTCCGCTCACTGAGAGTGTTTCGAACAGCGGCATCCGTACGCGTTTTTTCTTGCTCGAGCTGAAAATAGGATGAGTGAATCCGCTAAACGAGGAGTGGGATAAGTGAGGAAGGCTTACAGCTTCAATGTGCTTCTTCAATGACGCCACTTCTCGATCAAGTCGAGCTCGGAATCCATCCACTCCTTCTTCTCCACCTCCGCTCGCACAAGTTTTCGCTTTAACTCTTCGACTTCAGAAGTGAGCACCAACCTGTCTGAAAATAGCCGACTAAGAAGTGTTACCAATAACAAAATTGAAAGTGAAGTAGTCTTTACCTTTGCGTAGCATCACTAGCTCATCCCTCATTTCTCGTTCGAGCTTGCTCCATTCTGTCTCAGCCTTCTGCAGGCCAAGAACCTGCTGCGAAAGGGTGTTCTTCAACTGATTGGAACTCTCCAGAGATCGCTCACATTCCGCTAACTTCTGGTTCAACAAACCCAACGCGGTTTGCCGAATCACGCTGTTCATGTCTTAAGAAGTGCTTATAAGATTAGTCGTGCCGGTAACCTGGTCGTTCTTCATTTCAAATCTAGAGAATCGAATTTGGCTACGTCAATGTTCTATTTTTTACCGCCAACCTCTCGGAAAGACTCCGGAGTCAGTTAATCATTCGATTCTCAAGATAACCTAGGCATTAGCAACAGGACCAGAACCCTTCGGACTACTTATACCAAAATGAAGTGCAAAAGAGGTTGAGAAGCCATTGACCTTGCATTATGGTCACAAGGTGGACCCAAATTGAATTGGAACGACGAGTTACGCAAGCGGGTTCCGTTCAAGCGCCAACCGATAAAGTTCAATTGTTAACCAGTTAGAAATCAGTCGAAAAAAAGTTAGGGGCAGTGTGCCCAAGCCCATACAAAACGAGATTGTCAGTAATCCCGCAACTAATGCCCGAAAATTTGGAAAAATTCTCGTTAAATTCCCATCAGGAAGCGATTGAGAATTCTTTTCTCACCGTAGCGATCAATCTCAGCGACCAAGCGCATCATCAGATAACAGCGACTCCTGTTTGTGCGCCAGCTCGGTGATCTTCCTCCTCATAAACTGATTGTATATCTTCAAGTTCTTCTTCGCCAGTGACAGCCTGCAGAGGCGGCGGCAGTCCGGCGCTTGATTTTACAGAATTTTTTCGAAGTTTTAAATAGTATATTATGAAGGTTTCCTCCTAACGACTTCCTCCTGCAAGCGAAGCCACGAAGACGAAAAGAGTCAAAAGTAAGGAGACTAGTGGAGATATTGAAAAATGGATGGGAGCATTCAGTATCGCCAACCGTGACGGTGCCAGTACTAGCCAAACCCTGCCCAAGCCCAAATTTACTCATCTGCTACAAGTTCTTGATTGGATTCACGCAAAGGTACCGTACCCTTTTCGGGTGTATTCAGAGCGAAATAATGTGCACGTAAAAGACACACTTTGATAAAAACGTTTCCATGACATAAATATGCGTAATCCATCGTTGATTAGCTCCCCCCCCATCCCTATTTTTAGGAGTCAAAACACGCCACTCATGAATCAGCCCTCACCGCTTGTTTCCAGTCTTTTCCTCATATGTGAGTCTTCCATTGTTCTTTGCTTCTGTTGTTGGCGTCGAGAATCTTCGAGAGCTCTCTTCACTTGTTCCAACTCTGCGACAGCGTCATTAAGACGGCCTTGTGTATTCTGAAGAGAGTCAGGATAGAATCACTCTTTATAATACACGGATGAGAACTAAAATAGAAATTTCCAGGCGAATGCAAAATAGTCCATGAAAATCCCTTGAGTGACACATGGGTAGAATGGGTAGAATGGGTAAAACTCGTAAAATTTCTAGTTAATACAGGTAGCCCGTTCCCCGATCTCAGAGGTTGTTCCGCAATGGGTGGAGAGGGCGCTGCAGCCCCCTTTGAGAAAGGGTACGCCTTTCGTAGAAGGTGCGTCCCCTCAGGTAGTTCCAGAATAAGCTACAAAGTTCTTCGAAATACTGACACGTGCCATAGTTTGTTCTATGTGGAAGAAAGGTGAATACCTTTAGCTCCAAATTCACATCGTTCAAGCGTGCGGCAAGCTGATCGCGTTCCATTCGAATGGAATGAGCATTATCTTCGAGACTTTTCATTTCGTGTTCGGTTCCCTTTGCAGCAGACATCAGTCTCTGTCGATCAGCAGCCATCTGAGACAACTCCACACGTAATGCCTCCATTTGACTCTGAAACGTCGTGTATCGAACAGGTAGAAGGTCACAACGGCAACAGACCCAAAACCCACCATCATCTGATTGATTTTGCTGTCTTTCTCGCGAATGTGCAGTTCAGCACTCATGATTTTTGCCTTCAAGCCTCGATGCTCCAGATCCTTCGCTCGCATTGTCTCTTCGTTCGATACATAGAGTTGTCGTTGAGTAGCCAGACGAGATTCGAGGTTTTCATTCTCTGAAAGTGTAACATCTCCATCTGTTTAATTCTGAATAGTCTTCTAATAGTAACACATTATGTTCCAGCAAATGTTAGCGCTCAACTAAAAACTAGAGTTATACGGTTCCGTCCAATGGTATCGCTCGCGTTTTCTAGCTAGTTCACGTGAGAGACACAAACTCAGAGAGATTTCGATGCCGTAGTGCTGCTACATTGAGCGTTTTCGCGTATTTGTGCGAATGCTGCTCAAATCCACTATGCCTGCTTTGCCTCGACTTGCAGGTACGCTACACACCCACCTAACTAACATGACTACTCGAAATTGCCTGAAAATTTGATTCGTGACTGACAAGACACGTTCTGGCACTGAAAAGAAGTTCCGCTAATGCGACTACCCCCAGCCTCCGGTTTTCTCCTGCGGCTCCACTTCCCTTCTACAACCTACCAGT